AAAAAAAAAAAGCACGTTCTAGAATGCTTTTTTAATTTTAACTAAATCTTGCTCTCTCTTTAAAGTCTGCAGCAGTGACGGGATTTTAAAATCAAATTGCCTGTGAGAGTTATCAACTTAGAAAACACTTAGAGCCATTTTTCATTTGGTCTGGCCAGAACTGAACCAAAATATAGAAAATATAATTTGGTTTGTTATCCTAAACATAAACCAAGTAGGCCATTGACTACTTACTGTTAACTCATTGATGCAAAGAGCAGAAACCGGAGCTCGATGGCCTCGGAGCTGGGTTAGAAATGACAGTTTGTTCAGATCCCAAATGATGCAGGTTCGATCCCGGGACCCACTGACAATTATGTGATAGGCTAATGATGCTGTGGCACAGGTGACAGTATCAGTGTGGCCAAGTAAGGCCTACAAGTGAGAACAGAAAAAAAAAATCAGGCAGATCACAATGAGAGGGTTCCACAGAGACTCCCGAAGCTCCTGGACGCTTGAGGACAATGACAGTGCGTGCTCCAGGCAGGGATGCCTTGAGCACTGGGCCTGGGGAGTCTGGGGCAGATCCTTTCTCCTCGGGCCTCCTGCCTACGCCTCATCCTACAGAGGGAGAGGGAAGAGAGAAGCCTGGGGTACTCTGGAGGCGCTTCTCTTTGTCTCTTTGTTTTCATGTTACTTCTTTCTGGACTTGGGACAGGACCTTAGAACAATGGGGGAGTGACAGTTCCAACCAGCCTGGGTTTCTTGACACCATTTCTATTTGGAAATGCATTGATCATGGGCTCCCCAAATACCGAATTTAAACCCTGTACCTATACTTTTAAGCCACAAACTTCTGTTTATTCCACCCTAAGGAACTACATTGGATAAATTTTAAAAAATGCACAGATTGTGAGAGGCACATGGTCACAGGACATACTCCTAGAAAGATGAGAAAATGTGGTGCTGATGTGTCCACATGCTGAAGGGCTGCCTGTGAATGAGACAGCTGAACATCTGGGCCCAAAGCGATTCCTTCTTCAAACTGGAATAAGAATTCTTCTCTTTTGCTGGACTATGAAGAGTTACAGGGCCCAGAGAAATAGCAATGTGAAAATAAGTATTTTGGAGAAAGAGATTCAGGTTTCTGCTAGCAGTTCCTGAAGAATATGCTTGCTTCACCAGAGCTGGCTTAAAGTTTTGGTCATACAGACATTTTCAGTGTATGCTTAGCAAACTTTTTCACTGGCACAAAGTCCATGTTTTAATTGGAAAATATTGTTAAGTAGGAGAGTCTGGATCAGAACATGCACTGCCAACCTTATACCTGTTCACGTTGAGAAGCTATCTCCGCTGTGGCCTGCCTTGGGGCCCAGCAGCTATGAAGTTTCCACCCTGTATAGATGGGTCAAGTCTATGCTGAACAAGAGGTCTGTTTCTCTTCATAGATATTTAAGATACCACTGTTAATCGAGTGTAGTTTTAAAATAGCTTTGATGTCAGAAAGGAATCTGACCATGGTTTTACCACTAAGTATGACTCTGAGCCCGCGTCTTTGCTTCTCTAACCTGAATTTTTTCTAGGTGTAAAATGGGGCTAACAACTTCCATGTAAAAGTGGAGTTCTATCTTTTTAAAGTACACAGCACAGTGCTGAACACAGTGGGTGCTCAATAAATGATAAAGAGTACTGTTGTGTTACTTTTCAAATTTGTAGCATTAAAAAATAGATGTATGCTCTTTATTAAAAACACACTTTATGGTAATTCTCTCACAAATCAAATATTAAGAAATGGCTTAATTATAAAAGGATTCTTAAGTAAAAATTAATAATATACTTAAGTACATAACAGGCAATCAAAACTACTTGTTAATTAATCATCCAGGGTTCTGCTGAATATAATCCTGAGTTTGGCACATCCTCAAGGATATGAAAAATGAGGAAAGAGAAAAACAAAAAGTCAAAGATGAAATACTCTTTTTTCTAAAAGAGTATTTCTAGCAGAAGAACATATTTGACTTTATCCATTATGCCTAGAGTACTTCTTAATTAAGGAAGCTTCTTAGTTCCCACGGGGTGTGGGCACCCAACATGGAGTACGCCCATCGGGGACCTTCTGTGCTCTCCGTACCTGTTTGAGGGTGAGTGTCTTAGCCTTTTCTTTCGAGGTGCCCATTTCCCACACGCACACAACCGTGCTTGTTCCACCAGTTATGACCAGCTTGGGGTTGGGGCAGATGGCACAGAGAATCTGGCCCCACTCAGACAAACATTCATAAACAGTCACTGCCTGTAAAATAAAGCAGACGTGGAATCCAGCATGCAGTAAGTGCTACAGACCTCTGAGCTGCGGGGGGTAGAGCGGGGCGAGGGGGGAAGCCCCTATGTGCAGCCACCTCATAGGCAGACACCAGCTCAGGTTTGGGGGGGGGGGGTTTGGCCGAGCAGCACATCCGTGCCAGCTCTACCCTGAACTCCCCTCACAGCTTCCTAACTATCAGGGGTCTGTGGGTTCTGCGGTCTGGGAATGTGATGTTGAAATTGTGTGATGCTATGTGAGATACAGGGGATAACCTGGTGAGAGGATGTGTTTTCCTGAGTGTTTCAGTATAAGGAGAACATTAAATGGGGCTGTGTGTAGTGTGGGACGCTACAGACTGCGCAGATTCTGTCCATAGGCATTTAGGAGGAGACTGTGAGAGGGCAGAATCAGGCAGGAAAGGGTCACGACATGCTGCCCCTCTAAGAGACAGTGATGCTGCAGTGGCTGCTACCTTGTGTGGGATGGGGCAGCAGGTTTTCGTCAGCTTGTTTAGGGTACTAAAATGAAAAGTAGGCCAGATGGTGACTCACCAAAAGGCGGCTATTCTGACGGGCGGAAATGTTGAGCACTCTGCTGACTACAATCTCGAGGAGGAATTCTTTGAGTGGGAAGCCCCTATCACATAACTTCCAAAACAGGCTTGTTCTGCAGGAAACAAGACTTGTCCAGTAGCTCCTCTGCCCTGATCTCATGCAGTGAACTCCCCTTTCCTTTGGCCTTTGGAGGAACAGCCAACAAGCCCTCGTACTGGGTTCTCCCACCCCCATTCGCTAGGGTGTCCAGACCACAAAAGGATAAGACTCAATGAGCACATAAGCAGTAACACAAACCTTGTCTGACTCATAGGTTCCCAGTCGGCAGCTGAGGTCCGCATAGCCCCATGCAAACGTTTTGTTCCAGGTTGGTGGGATTAGAACTTTATTCTGTTCTACTGCAAGGATACCTTTATCTGTACATACTATTTGTCCCACAGGCTCTTTGAGTTCTATAAAAAACAAATAATTATATTGAGTCAGGGACAGGGAAAACTAATCTCATAATCCTACAGGGGACGATGCAATAATCCCAAATATTATACGAAGCATCCCATGAGTTTGGCACATCCTCAAGGATATGAAAAATGAGGAAAGAGAAAAACAAAAAGTCAAAGATGAAATACTCTTTTTTCTAAAAGAGTATTTCTAGCAGAAGAACATATTTGACTTTATCCATTATGCCTAGAGTACTTCTTAATTAAGGAAGCTTCTTAGTTCCCACGGGGTGTGGGCACCCAACATGGAGTACGCCCATCGGGGACCTTCTGTGCTCTCCGTACCTGTTTGAGGGTGAGTGTCTTAGCCTTTTCTTTCGAGGTGCCCATTTCCCACACGCACACAACCGTGCTTGTTCCACCAGTTATGACCAGCTTGGGGTTGGGGCAGATGGCACAGAGAATCTGGCCCCACTCAGACA